ACAAATTTGATAATTGCTGTGTGGATATTTCAAACCATTCCAGTATTTGATAACTTATGTGGAATTGGTGCCACTGTTTAATACAAGGCTATAGAGGGGCTTACTTTGAATCAGCTGGTAGGACTTGTGCTTTGCAATAATTTTCCCTTCTTTAATGCATTAGAATTTAATAACATTCTTTGTTTAATAGACAGAAGATATAAAGTCATAAATAGTGTTGTGTTTTCTATATATATTGAAACTATATCTAGATTATGGCCAAGAATAAAATGTTCCCATCACTTGGCATGATTATAGGAATCCATTACTCCTTTATCAGTATTAATGATAAGTTGAATTATTGATGTATGGCTTTATCTAAGATGTGTCATTACTCATACTTCTGAATGAGTGCTTGAATATTTGATATATAATATATATTATATATATATATATATATATATATATATATATATATATATATATATATATATATATATATATATATATATTTAATTTTTTTTCTTTTTTTTATTCAGGCGCTTGATTCAAAGGAATTTAAGATTTTTAAACAGCTGACATATTTGGCTACTAATGTATTATTTATTTTTCCAGCTATGTCTACACTTCAGTACTCTTGACAATTCCATAACATGGTCAAGATCTGCTCTCAATGCTCGCTGTCGCATCTGCCGCAGAAAAGCAGATGCAGAAAATATGCTTTTGTGTGATGAATGTGACAAGGGTTACCATGTGTACTGTCTGAAACCTAAACTCAAGGTCTGTATTGAACAGCATAGAATTGTGCTTTGTAATGGAATTGAATGAATTTTGGACTCGTTTATTTTCTTATTTTCTTTGGATGCAATCACTAATGCTTTATTTATACTTGACAGGCCATACCCTCAGGCAACTGGTATTGCGATCACTGTAAGCCAAAGGAGAAGCCAAAGAGTCCCAGGAAGAAGAGACAGATATACAAGGACATCTCAGACGATGAGATGGATGAGGAGAAGACAAGTGATGAAGAGGAAAGGTACATTCCAATCACTTTTTTTTTCATCCTAATTTTTTAAAGATGTGACAAATGATACCATTAAAGAAACTATAGAACACAAGGAGAGGTCTAAAAAACAATCATGCTTTGTGGTCTATGGATTCAATTGTACTTGTGTAGAGACTGAGTTTGAATTTGTTTATTTTGAATTTCAGTGAAGTCGAGAATGAAGATGTGTGTTTTGTTTGCGAGAAACCTGGAACATTGATCTGCTGTGACACATGTCCCCTAGCCTATCACCAACAGTGTGCTGACTTAAGAACGGTGCCAAGAGGAAATTGGTCGTGTGGGGCTTGTAAAGGTAATTGAAGATCTTATAATGTTATCTAAGGATTATTAAATTAATGAGGTTTATTTTAAGCATATATATATTTTTTAATGTGAATACATGATAATGAAGTGATTTCAAATGCTCTTTGTTTTTCTTTTCATTACAGGTACTAAGGATAGTGCCCAAGATAAGAAGACAACCAAAGAAAATAAAAATTCAAAGGAAAATAGTAAAGCAAGCAAAGATAGCTCAAAGAACAGTAAAGAAAATAAAAACAGCAAAGACAGTTCCAAAAGTGGCAAAGACAATTCTAAAAACAGCAAAGACAATTCCAAAAGTGGCAAAGACAATTCCAAAAGTGGCAAAGAAAATTCCAAAAACAGCAAAGATAACTCTAAAAACAGCAAAGAGAATGCCAAAAGCAGCAATTCCAAAAATAGTAAAGATAACTCCAAAAACAAGGAAAACAAGAACAAGAAGAATGCCAATGCCAAGAATAACAAGAATGCCAAAAGTGCCAAGAATGCCAAGTCCTCGCCATCTCCCGACAAAAAGAGGAGGAGTGAGGGACCAGAAAATAGCCGCAGTTCAAAGAAGGCGAAGTTGGAGGAACCTGAAGTTGGTAGGTTAAAAGGTTGCTGAGCCATTTACCTGTTTGTTTGTGCTTGTAATACACATGTAGGTTAAGCACCTGGTGAATGACAGACAAGAGGACAAAGTTGTTTCAGTTTCAAGACACTATCTGTCCTCATCTTGGAATAGTATATGCCTTTAGAGAGGCATATACGTAGTCATTTAATTATTTGGTTCATTTATCCATCTCAACCTTTTTATAAAGACATATCATTAGTTTGATTGTGATATCTTCATCAGGGTTTAGTATTTAGAGAAAATTCTATATTTTTATGTTGATTTCAGAATACACATCACCCAAGAGAAATAACAGAAGGTCGCTTGTTGATGAAAACAGTGACTTCAATTCAGTGGCCCTGGAAACTTTGTTGGATGAGCTATTTAAGCACAAGATGAGCTGGCCATTCCACAAAGCTGTGTCAAAGAAGGAGGTAAGGACTTACTTGTTGTAACAAAGACCTTTTTGTTTGTGTATTTGCCATATTGTTAGTTTGATTAATGTTTGATAGTTGGTGACTGATAGTACTCAGTTTGATTTCATAACAGATATTTTCATTGGTAATTCTTAAGAGCTATAAGTATAAAAAAACAGTCCTTGCTTGATATAGCTTTTCCCAGTCCAACCCTCCCTCCCATGTTACATTTCAATTTAGTACATTAGATAAAAGAAAAAATATCTTTTAAATGATGTTACAGTTTAATGGCTTTAAATTTGTTGCAGGCTCCAGACTACTATGATATTGTAAAGAAACCAATGGACTTTGGTAGGATCCGAGAAAAGCTAAACAGCCTAAAATACGGAACAGATGATGAGTTCATAGCAGATGTCATGCTTGTTTTCCAAAACTGCCAGCAGTACAACATGCAAGACACGGATGAGTACAAAGCTGGCACAAAACTCTCTAGCTTTTTTATGAAACGACTACAAGATCTGGGTTTGAATTACCGTGAGGAGCCCATGCAGGAAAACAAGAAGAGGAAGCGATAAGTTTCATCCTTATTCAAGTGCACTTTACAATGGCAAGGAGATCCCTCCTTTTATTGTCTCTGGGTATAATCGTGATTTTTAGTGAAAAGGTTCACAAAGTGAGATAGTGTATTTTGATTGTTGCATTCGTGAAATACATATATTTTTTCATTAACTACTTGTATATTATCAGAACAAGTGAAGAATGCAGCAGGATTGCACAAGACATTTTATTGATTAATTAGCGTATGTGAGCAAAAGTAGTTTGTTCTCATCAGCTTCAATGCGAGCTGCCAAGATGATGTAGTTATATTTAAATAGTGAAAATGATCTTCAGGATCATGTGAGAAGTCAGCTGGCTTTGACCAGGTGATTGCATTTGTAATTGCTTTGTTAATAATGTTTATAACTTAGTTCAATTCATGGCATGACAAGTTGGCATTAGTAAGTTAGCTCATTTGTCATCAGGTTCAGATTTTACGAGATTAATTATTGTCTCGCTAATTAACTTGAAATTGAGTATGGGTATTTGTCCTTACATTTGATGTAGGTACAGTAATACTTTTAGCCCTTTTAAAATGTAAGGGAACCATGTTCAAGCATTGTGTTCAAGCATCAGGTATACTTTTTTGAGTTCATTCAGTCTGAAGGGACTCGAGCATAATAGGTGTTCACATCCCAGTTAATATAGCTTTAGTATTCATTTTGTTACGAAGACCAGTGGGATTTTGGCTTTCCCAAATATAATGTACAAAAGTTTTGAGTTACAGGACTGCCATGAATACATCAGCAAAGAACTAGCTTTCTAGACGTTTTATTTAAACTTTGACTTTGCTTGTAATAAAGGAAAGCACTTTTTTAATTTATTTTTTAAAAGTTGAAAATTTTTCCAAAATAATAATGGTTCTTTGTATAAGCAGTATCATTAACCTACCAACGTGTAAATATTCCCTTTAATGCACCTTTACTATATGTCCTATATTCAGGCATAATCACAGAACAGCAACCATTACCAGTATTCCTCCAGGGCATGAGAAGGATTGTTTTTTGCAGTCTCATAATGTAGATCTTGATCAGTGGGTTCCTTTCTTTATTATTATTACTTTTTTTTGTACAAACAGAAATGGAGAACATTGAATTTATATAGTGGAAAGAAGTACCACATGAGGTAACAGGAGAGGCATATATTTTTTATGGAGAATTACTCATACATTTGATGTCTAGGACATTTAAACAATTACCTCCTCAATCCCTTGAGGGGGGCTTAGGAGATGGACGACTGAGACTCAACGCTGGGGATCTTCCCAACTTTGATCACTGTGAAGACCCTAGATATTGGTTCGGCAAATAATTTTGATTATCAACAATCATTCCTCTACCTTGGTCTCAGTCCTTGACTCGTATAATTTTGCAGTCTTTTTCTTTCCTTTTCCTCATCTTTCCCAACCTTTTTCTGTCCAATTCCTACATGTGAGAGCTGTTTGAAAGGATGAAAGGCTTGACTGTGTGCCAGTGAAGGGTATGGTAATCCCTTGGTTTAAGTGTTTGTCCCTGGAGCTTTTTTCTTCCCCACATACTCCAGGCTTACCATGGCTTGTACCATAATTTGGATTTTGCACCATTATTATGGTCATTCAGGCTTGCCCCTTAATCAACCACCCTCCCTGAATCTGCAGTAACTACTCTGGTTACCAACCCCTGACCCTCTGACCATGGCTCTGACCATAGCTACTACACACCTGTTTCGACACTTGTTCTCAACTTAACCAATCCTAAATCTTCTACCCAGATTATAACGCTTCCTCACTCCCAATATCCTCCACCCCATCTGTACACTAATTTCCATTTCCTACATCCTTTCTTGTTAAAACTCTTGGACCTTATTGCCCTCCCCCACACCACTACCTCATTCCACTTCACAACCATTTCCCATCGTCCTCACCCCTTTATAATTCCCACCTATTCAAACTATTTAAGTACTCTATTAAGTACTTAACCCCAAATGGGATCCATTTTTTGTGATTCCCTGTACAGCCCCTTACTGTGACAATACCTTACTATTCCAATAATACTTGAATAAATAAGTAAGCAAA